AAGACGACGCAAAAGTGTAAATCTTATTGACTAAAGATAAGCTAAGCATAGTCTGTTACTAAAAATAAACTTTGCGTTATCCTAAATACTGCCTACTGAACCAGTGAGCTAAGTCTGAACAACAAATAAATTAAAGTGGACAGATTCCTTCTGCACACCGACATTTTGGTAAACATTATTGTAATGAATTCCTACCACTAGTGGAAATTATGAAATTTTCGACCACCTAAAAGTGATCTTAAATCAAGTCAAAAGCCTTGTTTCGACCACTTTTGGTATTCGGAAAAACCTTTGTTGCTATTTCCGACCATTTTTTGGTATTAACTTGATTTAAGATCACTTTCATGTGGTCCGAAATTTCATAATTTCCAGTAGTGTACGCGTCACCCAACTCTAATACTAATTGTCAAGATTAAGCACTAATCGTTATGTCAAAAAATATAACTAATAGTGAAGATGTAACTTTATTTCCTTATATTTGCATAACAGTTAGCGCCACATTTTGATGGTAGGATGCTAGATTCAATTGTCAAAGCCTATGCCTAGCAGTGTTACGTTCTATAGCGATTCCGTTACAAATTGTGATTTACAATAGAATTTGAGGGTTTTGCAATAAAATATTACTGTTATGAATCATGAATTTTTTGTAGTGTTATGTTTTGTTCTAATGTACGTTGATTCTAAAGAAGTTTAATAATTAACCTAACATTTGGCGGTTGGCAAGCGAACTATTTGATGAGCATATAGTATATAAATAATAAATGTGTGTAATTCAATTATCAACTTATCAAATGATAAATGTGAAACGAAATACATCCTTTAATTTAGTGTTAAAGTCATCTATGCAATAGATTATGAGTTCAAACGTAACCCGATAAAAAGAGATCATATCGAAGGTTCAACTTTTGTATCTCATCTGTGTGAGCTAAAAATTAAGAAAAGATACGATAACATTTCTGTAATTATGATAGTGCATTTAGAAGCACTTGATAGTGCATTTAAAAAATAATTTTAAAATGCACTATCAATTATCCGTGAATGCACTATATCAAACGTTTCCAAATGACATTGTAATTACAAAAATATCTGTGCATTTTTCCTTAATTTTCAATTCTGAATCATCTTACATGGACACATGATATTATTAGTCAACATTTTCTTGCATTGAGAGAATTTATCCAATCTCACCACACTCGAAATTATTTACTATTTGGATAAGGGGTGGATATTTGCCTTGTGGGCCCGAGGGAATTGGTTGCAATTGTTTTTGTTGCATTGTGGTGAATTGCCTTCTCGTGAATACATAACTGGATAGGAATTGCAAAATGCAGGATTTTTCAAATTTTACTTCACGCTAACTCAATGACTCAACAAACATAGATGATGTAAATCATTGTGACTCAATAACTCAGCAAACATGGTCAAATGTCGGTGCGTACAAGGGATTTGTCCACTTTGATATAATCCCCACATTGTCATCGTCAAAGTTCGAATATTAGTCTCTTCTCTCAAATACTGTCTATCGAACCAGTGAACAAACCCAGTTCATGTTACATGATCTAAATTTTCGTAATTAGACAAAGTTTGTATGTTTCAAAAAAGAAAAAATATTAAAGTTGGTAAATTAAAGGCAAGGCTTGTGTACATTGACATGTAGGTAATTAAAGTAGGCAATGGCAAATTAAACTCCAAATAAATAGTGTCGGCCAATTCATAGCAGGGAACAAAATCCCTGCCACTATAGCTTTCACAGGCCACAGATTGTGTGCATGCATTGCCTGCCTGTCCCAATAAGGAACCTATGAACCTAATCTTTGTACTACATTGGAGTCTTAATGTCTGTCCTCTTGTGGCATTATTGCTTCTTTCTCCTGATTCCATATTAGGTAATGCATGCCTAGCTAGAGTTTTAATTTTTGCAATGAGGTTGGGTGAGGGCTGAGGCCAGCCACAAATGACAAATCTACCCGAGAGTGCGGACGAGATTTAAGGTCAAATCTAATTGAAATAGCAACCTAGCTAGAGTCTCAACGGGCACCTTAACGAACTGTTCGCCTTCTCTATAAAAGGCGACCAACTGGTCGCTTTGCTGGGGAAGGCGGCCAGTTGGTCGCCTTCTGCTGGAGAAAGCGACGAACTGTAATAGTAGGTCATTTATAAATATTTGGACTCTATGCCTCAATATAAAATGTTAAATGGTGTAATTGTACTTTTTAAAAATTTAGGAGGCTAATTGACTTTTCAGGTAAAGTTTATGAGCTTATTTGACCATTTTCCCTTTATTATTTATATACATTATCATCAACACTTGTAAGCTCACATAGGTGTAGAGGGTGCTCCTAGCCCACAAATCATAATACGAAGTGCATGTGTGATAGACTCAATCAAGAAAGTATTAACAAAATTGAACTCGTAACTTTTTTTATACGAAAATCATGTTTCACCATCTATTCGACCACCCCTTTCAAGACAGTAAAAAACCTTACTCCATAGTTGGTTAGTCCACAACTTATAGCTTTGATCATATTGAAACAAATTCCTGGCTCTTCCCTAGACATAAAATTTAAAAAAATAAATTTATATTTATATTTGTCCATTGCAGTCCCACCAAGTATAATGTCACTAATACTATATTAATACTATGTATTCTAACTTTTTACCTTTTACCTTATACTGATGTGACATACTTTAATTGATTTTTAAAAAATGGAATAAGTCACAATTTATTTATTTTATCCTTTTGTTTAATAAAATTTGAACAGGTAATGAGAATTTTATCTCTTGAAAGTAGGTTTATGATTTTCTATATAAAGCAACCCCTAATAGCTGGGAAGAAATGTTAGTCTGTGAAACCTGATAAAGACTGAAGAAGACAAAAATAATGTCAGCACTTATACATAATACATTCCGTGATCATATAAAGTATGGCACCTACATACATAAAAGCAAGTGATGCAGGACATGGCACACAAAACAATGTCATTATCTTTTTTATTGAAAAAAAAAAAAAAGAAGCATACTTATAATTTTCTAATTATTATTCTTGAATTATGATGATCAATCATGATTTTTGACAAGATTTTTGCAGCTGAAAAAAAAAAATTATAGTGGAGTTTTTACACAAATGGGGAAAGATTTTCTTTTTTAAATTTTTTCTCCTGTAAAGTTTAATTTTTTGTGGACCCCGCATGATGAGAGAAATATGTGTGTTCCACGCGTTCTGTGCACTTAATTATGTGCCCAGCATGGCGCGTTGTAGTGCGGGAGCGTAATTTCTGTTTCTTTTTTCTTTCTTTTTTTGTGATTTTTTTTCCTCTCCCCTCCTCTCGATCTTCTACTTGGACCTGCAAAAATTTTAAAATAAAAAATAAAAAATTCTAAACTAATGAGGTTGCTGCAATTTAGAAACATTGTCTCTCACCTTCAATTATTTCAAATTTAGTCATTAAATTATTTATTAAGTTGTAAATGTAATCCGGCCATCATCAATCTAATAAAGCTATCCAATTCAAAACAAAAAGGTTTTATGAGAGCATTTTTGTAATTTCAAACTCTTTTTGATTTTCTACTATGTACTTAAGTTTCATATTTAATTTGTGTTTTACTAATTAAGTGGTTCTGCTTGGTTCTATTGTGGTATATTGTATTGGGATATTAGAGTGCAAATAAGGAAAATATAGCAAAATGTTTTAGACTAGTTTTTAAGTTACAAAAATACCCTCATCCACACCGTAGTTAAATTTTTTCTATCATTTTTATTTACCCCTGCCATCTCATCTACACCATAGTCGTTATATCATTTTTTATTTGATTTAAAAAGCTAAGAAATTATAACTAACAGACGTCCTAGTTTCTTTAAAATACACCCCCTCCCTTGGCAAATTATTGTGCGGATCATAGTTCACACAGTGTCGTGTGGACCATAACAAAAAGTACATTTTTAATATATTAAAGGGAAAATGGCACTTTTTTCCCCTGTGTTATATACTTATAGCACTTTTTCCCCCTATATTATTTAAGTGGCAATTTTCCCCCCTGATATATTAAATGGACATATTTACCCTTAAAATAAATATTTCCTTTATTTTACTTCTCCAACAAATTATAACCACAATTTGAAAAAATAAAATACATTAATTGTTGAATTTAGAATACTTTAAAAATAAAAAAATAAAATTTTAAAATAATGTTTGAACCAACAGTTCAAATTGGATCCGAAATTGTGAAACAACAATTCAAAATAAAAACCAAATCGCGATTATATATACTTATATGTGAGAGTCAATATAAATGCGAAAAAAACATACACTATTTGCAAATATTATAATTCTAATTTTAAGCTATTGCTAGTAGTTGTTCCGATTTGAACCTCTGGTTCACGGTTCAGAATCTATTTTTTTCCACTTCACAATTTTAATAAACGAAAACCCAAATATTGGGTTATGTTATGAATCATAACCGAATTTTTTTTTATTTGATTGCTATAGTGTTCGGTTCAGTTCGAACCGAACCGTGGCCATCCCTACGTATAAACAATAATTTGTTGAACAAGAGAAATAAATAAAATATGTATTTAAGGGTAAAAATGTCTATTTAATATTATCAGGGGGAAAAACCGCCACTTTTATAATAATTGAGGGGGCAAATGTGGATGCATGAATAACTCAGGGGGAAAAAGTGCTATAAGCATATAACATAGGGGGAAAAAGTGCCATTTTCCCTATATTAAATGTACATTATTTGTGTATTGAATATACATTATACAATATAATGTACACTCAGTACACAAATAATGTACATCCCCTAAATACGATGTACATTTTTAATATACTAAAAGTACATTATTTTTGTACTGACTGTACATTATTTTACAGTAACAAAATATGGTCCACACAAATCCCTAAACCCCCCCCCCCCCCACCACCACCACCCGGTCTATCCTCCCAACCTGGCCTTCAAAACTCTATATAAAAGCTATTACTCCTGAGGTTTATATCAGAAAATTAGCTGCAAGCCCGGAAAGATGGCATCAAGAAGGCTCCAAAGGAGAGTGTCATTCAGCAAGAAGAAGAAGAAGCTTCACATTCTGCAATCTCTTACAAACTCTAAATCAGTAAATACTACTCCAAAACTTCATTTCTTTTCATATATATTCTTCTTTCTTAAAAGTTTAGTAGTACAGTACAGTGCTGATTTTATATTTGGTCATTTTTGCAGGTGGGGAGCAGCTCTATTATCATGGATGCTTTTATGTACATCCACAGGTTGAAGATCCAGCTAGAAGAACTCACAAGAGAATATTTCCACCTCTTGAACATTATCCAAGTTCTCTACCTATTCATCTCCCTACTATTTATTACAATTTTTGCAATGTCATTTGCCCTGTTTGATAAATGGTTGTTAGCTGTTAGCAAATCGATTGCGTTAATTAGAGGGTATAACTAGTTGATAACATTAGTTGCTTTTGTAGAAAGGTGTTTGGTAAATTAGCTGTTAGTTGATAGCTGTTTGGTATAATTTTTTTTCTCAAAAAACTAATTGAAAAAGTTGTTTTGAGTAGCTTTTTGAATTTTAGCATTTTAGAGTACAAAAAGCTAATTAACCAAACACTTATATTTATTTTTAAACCAAGTCAAACAACTAATAGTGATCAAATAAGTCAAAATTAGCCTATAGGCTAACTATTTTACTAAACAGGGCCATTATGTGTATTCAGGAATCGAACTTGAAACTTTATGGGTACAAGTCGATAGCCCGACTAGCTTGTCTGGGGTTGTCCTGTTAAAAGATGTATAATAACTTCGAGTAGAGAGTTACCCTCTTTAGACCGAGTACAATACGACATCAAGTGGTGTAGGTTTATAACATGAGTACATGTTGGGAGGAGATTAGTAAAGGGTCAGTCCAGCAATTGGTGACTAGGATGAAGCTAGGGACAAATCTACTATCCTGTCCCTCGAAAATGTGGTACCCGTATATAAGGAAATAAAGTAATAAAGTAATGTGGTGGCAGTATATATAAGGAAATAAAAGTTGTGCTTTGTTGTGAGAATAACTTTTGGCACAGTGATAAGTGCTTGATCTTAAGAGTAGTATTATAATTATGGGTACTAAATTTGTGGCAGGAAGTGAAAGTGGATAAGGTGCATGGGAGGAGATTTATGGTGACAGTGAGGTGCAAGAAAGTTGAAGATTTACTGGTGTCAATCTTGGAGGCCTTTGAAGAGATGGATATTAGTGTTGTTGAAGCTAGGGTTTCCTGCAACTATTTCTTTGCCATGGAAGCCATTGTTGAGGCTGAGGAAGGTCAGCAAGGATTGATTGCAGAGGCTGTAACTCAAGTAATTCAAAAGGCAATTCAGAGGCAAAGTGAAATAGGGACATGTCAACTTCAAAACTACTTTGCTGTTCCTAAAGCTAGTTGAAACTAAAATCTAAAAAGTAGTAATAAGATACTAAAGTTTTTTTATTTTAGGGTTATTTTCATATTTTTAATCTATTCCCTGCTTGTCAATTCCTTTATGGAGGAAAGTTTTTCATGTGTCCAAATCATATTTGTCTTCTTCTCCCAAAAAGTTGAACCCCCAACTCCAAGGGTCTGACAGAGCATTTGAGAAGACATAAATCACGGTGACTTAGTGTCACTGCGCACATCTGTCCAAGCACAAGTGATCTGCCCACTTTAGACATAATTTCCACATTACCGTCGCTAAGGTTCGAACCTACTGAACTATTGAGCTAAGCTTGTGCGGACAAATTTGTTTTAAAAATAGCACAGTTTGTGCTAAACGACTTTAATTGATAAATTGTAAGTGAATCTTTTGCGACGGTTGTTATAAACATCATCAATAAGTTTAAACTCAAATCTATTTAAAGGTTCTTCGTCACTTTTACTCTAAAAATCAATAATAATAATTAAAAAAAAAAAAGTAAATTATAGAATGTATCTTAATTGACCAACCTGTCCTCAAATATTTATATACTAATAATACTCACCAATATAAACATCACTAATGAATATTATGGGAGATTTCATTGGGAAATTACAATTCAATTCTTCCTAATTTGAAAAAGTGAACATTTTCTAATTTAATTGTCACTTTGTGGAATTGATGACCTTCCTAGGCCGGCAGTAGGCCCCTAGGATTTTCAAATCCATGGATGTTGGAGAAAATTTAGAGCTATCAGGACAAAATACCACCTCCCCTAATTTTGTACTGTATTTTATTACTCTGTATAATATTATAAATGTAATTAATTTTAATTTATAATTTAATATGATAATATTATTATAATTTTTAATAACAATATTAATAATATTATTATTATAGAATTTATTCGATTTTAATTTATTATACTATTATAATTATATATATATAACCATTTTAATATTTATACCACTTATTTCCTTTCAAATTTTATATAAATCAAATACTAACAAAACAATTTCAATAATTATATTCCCAACAGCAACCAAATATGAAATTTCAATTCCTATATTATTCCTTTTGGAAAAATTAGCTTAAAATGGCATAAAATGGCATATTAAGTGGCTATATTGTGGTACAATTATCAGTGGGGTCCACTTTCGATTTGAGTCGGGTCAAAGTGGATTCGGATTCTTCGTAGTAAGACGAAGAGATTGATATATTGTACGCTCAAAACGGATAATGGGTGAATGAGATATTGATTCTCAAAGTAGACCCATTTAAGTTGGAAAATGAAGGGAAAATGTAGGACTTTGTCCCACATTGGTTTGGAAACAAGATTTGCCCCCCTTATATACATGAGCTCTTTTCAAGCTTGTAGAATTGTATAGCATAGAGGCTCTCTCGCGCGGGGGGGGGGGGGGGGGGGGTTTAAATTCTGAGTGTTACACAATTGGTTTTAACACCAATTTAATGGCGATGTTGACATCCCTATATAAAGAGAGGTAGAAGCAGTAGCATTTTACACAGTACAAAAACGAAAGGAATTCCAGTAGCTTTCAGCTTCCCAAAACTCTGCTTCTACTATCTTTTTTACCAACTAGTGTTCTCTACTTTGCTTTGTTTGCCGGGTTCCTTGTTTAGGTGCTTAAACAAGGAATCGTAGCACGTTTTATCCTAGGAAACCTAGGCTACAACGCTCCTAGCACTTGTGGGAGGTAGCAAATAAGGTTTTAAGGAAAAGAACCTTGTGTTCGAACTCGTGCTAAACCTATACCCAAACACTCAACCTTTTCCTTCCCAATTTTCTGTTTTCCCATATAATATTAATCTTTCCGTAGGATTATTATTATTTTTGGGAATTTTCAACCATATTACCCAACAATCTTAAAACCTTATCTCCGTTTCCCGTTGCTTGTTTATCTCTAATTTCCTAGAAGAAATGGAGAATCCAGTTTTGCCAGCTCTCGGGGAGGAGAATGCTGTTGAGAACAACAGTGGTGGGAATGGCAATAATGTTGCTAATTCCCAAGCTACACCAGTGAACGTTGGTTCACAAGATGGTGGGAGCACCGAGGGATATATTCCCATGACTCGGGTACCTACGGTACCGAGTGGTTCGGCCGAAAGACCGGAGAAATTCACCGATATTGGATCGAATTTCAAGAGGTGGCAGCAAAAGATGCTGTTCTACCTGGCAACTCTCGGCTTGGCGAGATTTTTGACCGAGAAGGTTCCCGAATTAAGGGAACAGGATGCCCAATCCGTGATGGCAGTTGGCTATTGGAAGGATTCGGACTTCCTATGCCGAAACTACATCCTAAACGGATTATGTGATGCGTTATACGATGTATATCGCAAGATTGGCACAGCGAAAGCGCTGTGGGAAGCCTTGGATCATAATTACCGAAGTGAGGATGCCGGCGCAAAGAAATTTGTGGTTGGCCGATTCCTTGACTTCAAAATGGTTGATTCCAAAACCGTGCTAAGTCAAGTTGAAGATTTACAACTAATCTTTGATGAAATCCGTGACGAAGGCATGACGTTGAGTGAAGCCTTCCTAGTGGGATCTGTTATCCACTTGCTGCCTCTAGGGTGGAAGGACTTCAAGAACTACCTTAAGCATAAGCGAAAGGAAATGAACCTGGAGGACCTGATCCAGCGACTCCGAATTGAGGAGGGGAACAGGACGAATGATGGAAGAAATTCTGTCATTATTGGTGTTAAAGCCAATGTTGTGGAGCATGCTAAAAACTCCAAGAAGAACAAGAAGGACAAGCAAAAGCTAGGTCCGAAAGGAGGCATTACCAAGAAGAAATTTCATGGAAAATGCTTCAATTGTGGCAAGACTGGCCACAAGTCCTCTGAGTGCAAAGTTCCAAAGAAGAAGAACAAGAGTTCTGAAGCCAACATGGTTGAGGAAAGCAATCAGAAGGAGGTCGAGATTAGCCTTTCGGCTATGGTGACCGAGGTGAACCTCGTGGACTCTAACCCACGAGAGTGGTTCATCGACACTGGTGCAACAAGGCACTTGTGTTGCAACCGAGAAATGTTCAACACCTTTGAGACCGTTGAGGGCGAGAAGGTTTGGATGGGAAACTCTGCTCAGTCTGCTGTGGAAGGCGTGGGCAAGGTGGTTCTGAAGATGACTTCCGGGAAGGAACTGACGTTGAACAACGTGCTGTATGTTCCAGAGCTGAGGAAGAATCTGGTGTCTGGCTCACTGTTGAACAAGCATGGCTTTCGCATGGTGTTTGAGTCAGACAAGGTTGTTTTGTCTAAGTTAGGAATGTTTGTAGGCAAAGGTTATGTAACTGATGGGTTTTTTAAGCTCAATGTAATGCCTATTATCATGAATAAGAGCAAAGTTAATTCCGTTTACTTGCTTGAGTCTTCCAATTTGTGGCATGGTAGACTAGGTCACGTTAATTATAATTCTATACGTAGATTAATTAACATGGACCATATTCCTAATTTTCAAATTAACACAAATAACAAATGTGAAATTTGTGTTGAGGCAAAATTAACAAAAGTACCTTTCAAATCGATTGAAAGGGAAACTGAACCACTAGAATTAATCCATAGTGATTTGTGCGATTTTAGATCGATACAAACGAGAGGTGGTAATAAATATTTTATCACGTTTATCGACGATAGCACACGTTATTGCTATGTGTATTTGCTTAAAAGCAAAGACGAAGCCTTGGAAAAATTCATTCTTTATAAGAATGAAGTTGAAAACCAACTTAATCGTAAGATTAAGAAAGTTAGAAGCGATCGAGGTGGTGAGTACGAAGCACCTATTGGTGATTTCTGTGCGAGTGTAGGTATAATACACGAGCGTACTGCACCTTACTCACCTCAATCGAACGGTGTTGCCGAGCGAAAGAATCGTACATTGAAAGATATGATGAATGCGATGCTTATAAGTTCGGGCCTACCTCAAGACGCGTGGGGTGAGGCTATTTTGACAAGTAATTACCTTTTAAATAAGGTAACCCACAAGAAGCTTGATAAGACTCCTTATGAGCAGTGGAACGGTAGGAAACCTTCCTACCAGTACCTGAAAGTGTGGGGGTGTCTTGCCAAAGTTTTGGTGCCAACACCTAAGAAAGTAAAGATAGGTCCTAAGACGGTGGACTGTATCTTTATTGGCTATGCACATAATAGTAGTGCTTATCGGTTCTTAGTACACGAGTCCCATAATCCGGACGTACACGAGAACACGATAATAGAATCAAGGAATGCATCTTTCTTTGAAAATGTATTTCCTTGTAGGTCCAATGAGGGACCGAGTTCGTCAAAACGAACGTTTGACGAAGCTATGGATAATGATAGTGGGGAATCCGAGAGAGAACCCGAGCTCGAGCCAAGACGCAGTAAGCGGGCAAGAGTTGAAAAATCATTTGGTCCTGATTTGCTAACTTACTTGTTGGAGTACGATTCGAGTACTCTAACTTGTTTATTAGAAAATGAACCCGATTTTCTATCTTGTTTGATAGAAAACGAGCCTCGAACGTACGGAGAAGCCGTGACTTCTACAGAAGGACCAATGTGGAAAGAGGCTATTAAAAGTGAAGTGGATTCTATTTTACAGAATCACACTTGGGAACTTGTGGATCTTCCTCCGGGTAGTAAACCCTTAGGATCCAAGTGGGTCTTTAAAAGGAAGATGAAACCCGATGGTTCCATCGAGAAGTATAAGGCTAGGCTTGTAATCAAGGGTTACAGGCAACGCGAGGGCCTTGATTACTTCGACACATATTCTCCCGTGACGAGAATAAATTCCATTAGAATGATACTTGCTATAGCCGCGCTGCGGAATTTGGAAGTTCATCAAATGGACGTTAAAACCGCTTTCCTAAATGGCGAACTAGATGAGGAAATCTATATGGAACAACCCGAAGGGTTCGTGGTTCCGGGCCAAGAAAGGAAAGTGTGTAAGTTGGTTAAATCGCTATATGGTTTAAAACAAGCGCCTAAGCAATGACACGAGAAGTTTGACCATGCGATGTTGACTAATGGATTCAAAATAAACGAAAGTGACAAATGTGTCTACGTTAAGGAAACGATAGACGGCTATGTCATTCTTTGTTTATACGTAGATGACATGCTCATCGTTGGTAGTAACGAC